TATATTACATTATATTACATTATATTATATCCATTATCTGGGATCTTCAGCTCTTTTGTGTTTGTGTGAATGTACCTGTTTGAATGTGTCACAAACAGTCAGGATTTTAGTAAAAATAAATAAATAGTACATCAGCATTTTCATTCAAGTTCCAGGAAGGGACACAAAATAGAGACAAAGCAGCAGTTGACCCAGACACAACTATTATAATATAAACATGTAGACATCTTCATTTAAGGCACTTTATGTCTACAGATATATTAACTTGGGAATAAATCTAACTATAAGTTTATAAGCTATACTGATTTAGTTGTGAGAAGCGCTTTTTGTTTTGTCTCATGATGAAGATTGTGAGAAGTGAAACATGTCAACTTTGTTCTGTTTTTCAGGACACAGAACAGAATCATGTTCTTTTATAATAAAACTCTAATCCTGTTTCAATAATAATAATTATAATAATATTTTTTAACTCACCAGTCAATGGCCTGAAGCAGATCTAAGTCTCCCATCATGCAGAGGAAGAGGATGAAATATTAGCTGAGAGATGCTTTTCTTTCTGAGCTTGAAAGGGAACGACCACCTCGCGCTGAGCTGACACTCTCGTCTGGTTTCAAGCAGCAGCATCACTTCCTTTTAAAGTTCAAATTTCTCTCTGTGTGGTTTCCTGAAACACATGGATGTGGTTCAGTGGACCAATAGAAGAACACCGCTCTGTGTTCTTTAGGTCAGACACAGCAGCTGTGAATTTTCAGATAAGTTATACATCTTTATACAAACTTTATAAAATAAAGAGTTTTGCTGGACCTGAAAATCTGAATCATTAAGATTCTGGAAAACGTCTCTTTTCTGTAGATTTGAAGTTATCTGGTATAGATCCAGATTTAGTCTGAAACTTGAGAATTGGGGTTGGGTTTATATCTACCTGTGTTTATGTTTTTACAGTTTTCTACTGGAACTTGTTATGTCCCTGTTTCAACAGTGTTGACTTGAGGTAAAGTTGAAGAATTTGGAGGCTCAGTATTCTAACAAACATGATGCTGCCACCACCGTGTTTAACAGTGTTCTGACAGTCTTGTTTTTGTGGCTAAATAACTCCATCTTTGCCTTTTTTTAGACATAAAACTTGTCTCCTGAAGACATTTAATTTGTCCACTGACAAAATGAATGTGTTGTTTTTAGAGGCGGAGCTTCCTTTGAGGTCAGGATTCACTAACCTGTGGATGGTCTCACAGGTGTTCTGGTAGGTTCTGGTTCATGACAGGATTGAGTCTTGGTGGTTCTTGGGTTGTTCTTGAAAATCAAAAACTAATTTTATTTTAATCCTATGGTGACAGATGGATTTAAAACATGCTATGAAACATCTTTTAGACCAGATATCAAAAATAAACCCAGATCCTGGACCCAGGTTGCAGTCTGAACACAGGCTTTATCATAAATCCATGTATTGTTTATTTTGTTTATGGTTTTTGTCTTTGATTCTAGCCTAGCCTCATTTTTTTAGTCTTAGGAGTCATGTTTTTAATTTCATTTTTTTGTGATATGATCTTCAGTTTAGCTCTTGTTTTGTGCCTCTTGGTTTACTTCAGTCGTCTCAGTTTAGTTTATTTTCCCCTGCATGACTTCCATTCAGCTCCTGCCCCATGGGGAAGAAGAATCTTCTTCTGTTGTTGTTTAATGGCGGTTGGTAAACAATGTTTACCGCCACCTTCCGGAATGGAGTGTGGGCCAGAAGGC